GTCCGAGAAAGGGATGGAAGGATCCTGTTCATATGGACCTATCGTCAGACAGAACACTAAATAATATATATATATATATATATATATTGCTAATTCTTAATGAGATCGGAGCCCACGAATGCGTGTCTAGGCTTAACTATGATCCTTAAATATGTTTAAACTAGATCGTGGTTGTTCTCAGGCATTGCACAATAACGTTATTAAGCGATTGGCTTGTTCCCTGCTTGTTCGTAACGTAAGGAAACTAGTGTCCTATCTCTTATGATGGACATTACATACGTTGTGGTATTTTATGTACATTTGTACCTTCTCGTGTGAGCATAGCTCTACAGTCGCAATAGTAGGACCCTCACTAACACAGGCACGAGGCTACACCCTTACATCCAGGCAGCCCCCACCCACTATAGATGTGAAAAGGGTGTGTGACAAGAGAGATGGGTAGATGTTAAGGGGAGTGAGTCCCCCTTCCCTCCACCCCCTTTTATACACCATGCCCCCTCACTGCTCGCGTACACACGCAATATCCCCTGCCCACATTCTCCCTTCAGGGACAGACTTTTCTCGGCGCCCCACACTGCCTCTTTGTAGCCCCCCCCCCCCCAAAAAAAAAACAGGCACCACGTTACGTGGTAGTGGAGCGTAGGGGGAAGTCATGGTCCTTTCTGCTACGAGTCTTTGCACCATACTAAACCTTCTTCAGGGTGAAAATTGAAATGACAAATACTGCCAGAACGCATGCCCTGGACACATTCCTTCAATTTCTTAGAAATGTTTGTACAAATGAAATATATCGGCTCGACTTTAAGACTTGGTATTTCAAACGTTTTGGTTTGGTACAGTACCGATAGCTGGTAAGGGCTGTGGTGACGATCGGGCGCATAATTTGAATCAGTCTTGTATTTGACCTAATAACCTTCATTTTATGACAGTCGAGGACAACAGAAAGCTCTTTATCACAATTGGTACAGCACTACAAAGACGTAATCTACGGCAAGAAGGGACTTTAATGATTTTATCTCGAATTATACTACTAAAACAAATTCCAGCTTTATTGACTTTGCGTCTGTAATGCAGTGCGAAATTTCTGTGACCCCTAATATTAAACCCCGCAATTAAGGGGAGGCCAACAGTTGCTTCACCCCTTTTCCCGTATCTTTGGAACATCCAATTATTTTTTGATTCCTTGTTTCTTAGATTACGCATCTACGGAATGGACTGTGTTTCGTGGAATAGTAAGGAATAGCCTATCAGTGAATGATGAGCTCTAAATGGAGTGTTCATAACTTATTTTAACGTACTCTGCTTTCATTCGTCTGGAGGGACTGAGAAAAATCACGCATAACTCCATGATATCGGACGCGGACCGATATTTGAACGTACTTTTCGAATATGAAGGAGTGGCAAATCAACTTCCTCGTGGTTTTGCATGTCGGGCCGGCTGTAAGGGTTGTCCGGTCTCCTGTCCCATGGGTGATGGTCGTTGTTTCCACAACCCTAAACCGGCCGGATCGTAAAGCTGGGCCAGATTTCACATCAACCGTGTCAACACTGTTACCCCTGGCTAACACGTTTAAAAACGAAACTTGGAAAATAAGACAGCCATCTTACCCTCTCAAATATTCAGCCAGTACGGGCGAGACGAATTCTCGCAGAGTTTCATTGCCATGGTCTCCTCAGAATAGAAGACTTCATAGGGTCTACGTTTGTGGCTGACCATACACGTGACATCCATCCACAAGTGAGGCGGGAGAAAGCACTAAAAAGGTTATTATGTGTGCGCGTGGGGTCGGGGGACTTTGTTTTTCAGGCCTCGTAAATTGTGGCGTAACTAGGACTGTCTAGACTTGTATTCGGGAGGACTCGGTTTGAATCTCCGCAGGTTTACCAAGTATTACGACACATTTTGTGATTCTTTCTGTCTCTTCAGGCAAATATCCACCCTGATGGTATCTTCAGATAGTCCACGACTCTGCAAAACTTTGCTTTCTCGCACCTTATTCGTAGATAACATGTGCAGTAGAAATAGTATCTTTAAATAATTTCAATCAATCAATAAGATCTCGTAAGTAATACCGATTGGTCGCGAGTTCATGGAATAACTATAATATATTGCAGGTATGCGTCGGATGTCGTACATTCACACTGAAGATGGCAGCTGCAATGTTCACCGAAACACTGTATAATTCTCAACATTCGACGCGGCCTATCTGAAAAAGCCGATATTACAGATTGAACTCCAGCCTCGAAAATTTAAGGACGTGAATTAAAGGATTTTTCCCCCCTGAGAGACCTTGCAGCTGTGAAGTTCCACCATGGGTCTGAGGTTTTCACGCCAGTGGGTTACAGCGCCGTGTAGTCTCCGAAACGTTGATAAACTTCAACCAGACTACACGGCTCTACAACCCAGAAGACATTTACCATACGCAACTTACCTTATCACTTCACACATTATCATATCAAGAACGTTTATGAGATGCAACTAGACTTTTAGCCAAGATCAGAAACAGTTCTTCTGATGTACGACACTGACCTCGTTCACGTGTCCGCGATTATCTGAGCAATCGAGTGCCTTATAGGCTTGCTGATGTCTGACACGCCGCCAGACCGGAGTGCATAGAGCGTAAAAGAAATTGAAGACAAAATTCTGGCAGTGCTGAGACACGTTTTACGTTGTTTTGTGTTCTCTATTATAATCCCCTCAGAATACTTCTGGTTTTCTCGATTCAAACCATCTTTCCAGCGAGCCGCCAGCCCGTTGTTTATTAACGAATATGAAGGCTAGATAGGCTGTTGGCCAAGAGGATTCAGATCACACAACACCTAACTACTTTTAATTTTGTGAGTTTTTTGAGCCAAAATCACTCTTCTTATTCCGACCTCCATCTAGTATCCACTCCACTCCACTGCCTTCTCCCCCCGCATACCTCCCTTCCAGTATCCCATCCCGCAAAACATCACCCCGTTAATATCATTGCCAATGACACCCCCCCCACCCCCAACTAATTCATCTTCATCAAAACTTTCATGTCACCCCCAAGCCAACTCTACCTTCTTCACATTAGTGGGTGCAGCCACCACAGCATGAACGCGTGGAGGTAATGCTCCACCTTAACGCACTCTTAACATCGGTGAGTGAGAAACTTCGCCCTGTTTCTCCCAATTGACAATTTGTTGTCACTTGAGTTTCTTCAGTTACCTCATCTGTTAATGATACGTTATTGCGGGTGGCTTCTGAAATTTGGAAGTTGTACTTGCGTCATCAGAACCTCCAAAGCCACCGTCTAGACGTTAACTAAAGCCGACCCCATCTGCCTTTCGGTTCCCTTCCTGTTCGTTAATCGCTCACAAGTCCAGTCCTCTCTGTTTCTCCTCTAAGATTTAGGTTGGGCGTTGGGCCAAAGAACCTCTCACAGTTAAATGTAGGGGTGCTTGTAAATGCCACCAAGTCTCGACGTGGACGGATTTATTGGCTCGACGGAAGAAGATGAACCCCCAGTCAGATTTCGGATAACCCCGATCACTCTGGCATAAGTGTAACGCGTTTTGAGTATTCACGAGGTTCTGGGTTTAAATCATCGGAACGGAGATCGGCTCTGCTGATAAAACTGTTCGGATATCTTGAGCACTTTCATATTCCGGGAGATTCTAACCAGAGATTCTGGAACTAAAGTCAGGCTTACAATGAAAGCACAGTGGTCAGGGCGAATGCTTTGCACCGTCTTCAGTATTATTGCCAATGCTTGGCCACCTTGGAACAAAAAAGTGTTTTTTGGGATGACACTTTCACATTTTGTATCCCTTCTCAAGCAATCGATAGCTGCTGTTTACGAATCGCAAGTCTACTTCGCCACTTTAAACCGGATCTTTACTCATTTCTGTCAGTTTTATTTGATGTAATTCTTTCACATTCGTTTTACTCTTTTTATTGACACCAAAAATGTCTTTGAGGAAATCGCATCAGTTGTTCATTCGATGGGACCACAGTTACGCGTTATAAAAAAAAAACGTTAAACTTGGAATTCGCAAATTGATATGAGCGAATGTTATTGAAAATGTCCGTAAGAACAGCGGAGCTTCCATGTACGTCCTCCTTTCTTTATTCTACTCACAACGGGTGGTGGTCGGGTAAAGCTATATACCATATAGCAGGACTGGAAACCTCGTGAGTTCGCCTCTGCATTGCGCATGTCCCACTATCAGTGGGAGTGAGACGCCGAGCAAGGTGCGAGAAGGAAAACTACAACCTAGAATAAGCAAGACAGAGAATGGTATAGAAATAATACGAGACAGAGAGAGAGAGAAGACGAAGTGTTTGAGAGATAACACAGAGAGAAAGGGATGAAGATGGGTTGGGACTGAAGGGCATGCAGTATTAGTACGAGCGCGTGTGTGTATGGGTCTGTTCCAAATTTCACCCACCACTCGCTCGTTGGTTGTACAAACAGAGACGTAGCGCTGTAGAGAGGTAGTAGCAGTGTCCGTAGGATCCTTGGTCAGAGAGGACGGACTCGCTATCATTGCTCAGTACCCCCTGTGACGTACAAGGAGCGAAAGAGACCCTTCCCCCCTCCTCCTCCCGCCGTGTGACAGCATTGACAGAGGTAACTTGGCGTTAGTAACAGAGCGCGAAGAGTGAGTGTAGGACGTGTTGTAGGTTACAGCGGCCAGGTTTTAAGTGATAAGTGCTTCAGTATTGAAGAGTGCACGTGGTTGATATAAGATAACTTGTTCTAGCTGTCAGAATTTGAAATATGAGACACTGAAGTTTGTGATGAATGAAACAGGGCGGCACTGCAAGACTTATTTAAATCCGGATTCAAACCAGTTTCTTCTGATGGCAACAGGAAGATAGAACTTGTTGGAAAGTATTTAAAAAATAATAGGTTGAGAGTGTGGAAACAAGACTGAACCAATCGAAAACTTGAGTTTTAAGAAGACATTTATTTATAATTTACACTTGGGATAATTTTTAATTGTGTGTTTTGTGTTAACCTATAAATTATCATAGACAGTGTTCATCGCCGGGACATAAAAAGTAACTAATCCCGTCTCCTATTTTGTCGTCATTGTATTCTAACAGGACCCGACGTCCTGTTAACACAAAAGAAGTTGCAGGTTGAAGATCAGCAAGGCTTTGTGCTTTGCCAAGTGTGTTGTAGACAAGACTTGTCGATACATTTGTGAGAATTGTCTCCTGTGCCTCTGAGATGTAACATTAAACACGTTTGGTTTCTGTCTTCGTTTTGAGTGGAAACAGAATCGGTAAAGACACTGAACACTTCGACTTAATTGTTCCGAGACTTGCAAAAAATCACCGAAAGATGTCTCACAAGAGAAAACCCAACTTACACAAGGTAAGAACCAGTTTTTTGTGTGTTTTGTGACAGAGATAGAAAGCGACCATGTTTAAGTGTCAACAGGTGAATTTTATTTCAGCAGGGATAAACCTTATTGGTCTCGAGGCTTCTTGCGCAGAATCGAAAGCGAACGAAAGTTACGTTATCACGACTACGTATGTATTTTTAGCTTTCTGTTCGAGACGGGAACAGTTTTCAATGTCATCAGTATAGTCGGTATGTGATCGAATCGGGGTAGTGCGATAATAAAGCCTGTCTTAAACCGTTTACGCTTAAAGGAATTTTATCTTTTGAGACATAAAATGTTTAAGTACGTTCTGGAACAACTTTATAACACGTTTTAACACGTGTACCTGTCTCTGAATAAGGGTTTTATGTGTCTGTAGTGAAATGTGTGTAGACGTCTGTCATTACTATAAGAAGTAGCAGATCAGTGTTTCTTTAATCTTATTTGAAAATTATCTATGTAGGATTTAAACGTTTTTCACGATGATTCCAGTTGACTCCGTCAGAGACAGTTTCCGAAATATTGGATACGATCGTTCGAGAAGACTTAGCATCCGTGCATTTGTTTACTTCGAATAATTAATGGCGACGAAAAAGTTCCAGAAAACGAACCTGGTCACAGTTCGTATTTGGCCATTCTTAGACAACGTACGTACATTATTGCCATTATATGAAATTGTAATTACACTTGTTAAATGTATCTTGCTAAATATTATTTCAGGCCAGAAGCGTATCAAAGGTTTGTTTTTGAAATTAAACAATCAACAGAATCCACATTTCCTCCACATACATGCCACTCATATGTGCAGATGTGTAAACTCCCTCGCTATTCAAACAAAATATACTATCAGAAATAGTTTTTTTTCGTGCGTGTCTCTGCAGATCGGACATTGAACGTATAAGTGCAACTCGTAAATACGTCCCATGCACAAAGCAACTTTTGTAAACACGTATTTTATGTCGTGCATTCTTGGTAAAATCTTTTTTTTTGAAAAAGTTTGACAATGGAAGACACCCAGTTTGTGTGACGGAAGTAGCCATGTTTTTTTATATATATATCTTGTGTAACAGTGGCTGCTTTCTAAGTTATTATGCAGTAATTGCCAAGTTAATCTTCCCGTAAAATCTGCCTGCCTTTCAGCTTCTTCTGACTGGTATAAATGAAGTACAGTTTTGTAACAATTGTTGGAAATTTTTAGGCACTACGCACATGCTCCCAACACCATCTTAGAAGCTAAAGACCAAAAGCCCGAACTGCAACTGTGTTTGACAAAAGTTTTGGAGTCCTTCGCGTTATTTTTCTCACTGAATTTTGTGAAGGGAAACTTAATTTTTTAAAACGTTGCAGACAATTCGGGCGACTGAAGACTTCGGTTGGTCTCTATCAGATGCATCCTTCGCGAAAGTGGGTCGTATAATCGGAAACATTTAAATCCCCTGTACTATATACCACCCGGCAGTCACAAATATCCAAGGTCATCACGTGAATGATCAGGCAGTGCGTGGTCTCGTTTCTTTTTTGTTTTCCAGTTTTACTTTCTCTGTCGAATGCGGGCAATGGCACAGAAGTCAAGAATAAAAGTGCCTATTGAATGTACCGGCATGTCTTGACAATTTAGAATTTGAATTCATTGACAGAGAAACTGAAGTCACAAAAGGTTTGTGCGGTATTTGAAGGTAAATGCTTCATTCTGAAGGTTTAAACAGTGTAATGGACAACATTTGCGTCGATGATGATTGTCTTCTGGGATGTTGCACTGGTAGAAACTTCCGTTATCAGCGCGATCATCACCATCATGATGGAGGCAGTACGTACCTCATAAACATTGGTCACGTTCTATCGGACTCCACGGTGCAATGTCGCGTTCAAACTTGCTGTCGTGAGAACCTGGTATCCGAACACAGAGGTGGTTCCCACAAGAGCTTATAGTGTCCGTTAGCATAAAAACCTTGAAGTACTGTAAAGTGATAATTTAATTTGCTTGTCACATTCCCTACGAGTATTGTCGTTGTTCTGCCACCAAACATCGCGAGCGAATGGTAAACATTCAGGACATCCTGCTTTAAATTGCCGGTCCATAGATTGGCTGTCCTCATTGAGGATTTTCATGGTTTTCCTCGATCCTTCCAGTCAGGATAGCCGGTCTCCGGGCCGAGATTTGAACCCGGGACCTCCCGAATACGAAGTTCGGTGGCTTTTTATTAAATTGTTAATTGTTCCCCGTCAACCTCAACAGTATCCTATACGTTACAACCTGAAGGTGGTCCATTTTGGATCGAAACATGTACAACAAACAATTGAATTAAAACCGAAATATTTTATTATTATTATTATTATTCAGTTCGCTGCCTTGTTAAAAATTTTAATCCGCTTTTTATGCTTTAAATCGCCGCGTAAAATTTATTTGGTAGGTACATACTGAGCTTTACAGAAACACTTGAACCTATGTTTGTTCTGGAGTTTGTGTATGGGATTTATAAGTAACTCGTTTGCCTTAATGCTACTTTGATACTTTAGTTTCAGTGCTGTTTGCGTCGTTGAAAGACTACACTACTCACCTTCTCGATTGCTTTCAGTTCTTGGAAGGAATTATCAGCTTTTTAAAAGCGTTGTGTCTTCTCTTTAATGCACTGTAGTGCTTTGAAGCAACAGCCATTTTACTTGTAATACGCACACAGGTGTGTGTTGAAGGAATTGCTAAAAACTAAACCCCACATTTTATTTCTGGGGACGTCCCTTCAGACACATTCCTGAGCTGTGGTCAGGGCTTCGTAGTATGACTGTAAATCCAGCGTTCTTTATATGAATAGGTGAAAGCTGCAATGTTATTGTTTCGTTGTGACAAAAGTAGCTTCTTTGTGACTGTAGTCATACCTATACTTGTTTCTGAAGGTACTTTCAATAGTTTACAACGAGCAGAACTTGTCTACAGATTAATATAGCCCGATTATAGGCTACTGGTTGGTTGGGAAATATATTTTCGCGGATAATCGAAACCCCGGATAATTCGGAAAAATTTAACTAAAACAAGGAAAGTTTATTTACATACATTACTTAAATTATTAATAATTAAAAAATAATAAAGGATTTTGTATAAAATAGCTTGGGGTCACGTCAACAAATCCGATCACGCAATCATCGATACTGATACGTTTTGTAGGATTTGAGGTTTTCATCTCCGCCGTGTAGTCTGGTAGAACTTTACCAGTGTTTCAGAGGTCCTCGATGCTGCCATCCTCAGGGCGGTTTTGGTGCCTTGTAAACTTGGTCAATGGGAACGTTTCGTAGAAACATAGTCTTCGTCATCGGAAACGTTGACATCAGTGGACGAACTGAAACCTGGAATAGTCTTCATCCTAGGTACCGTCAAAACCAAATCTCAAAAAACTGTGTTCATTATCTTGTCTGGTTTCACACCTGTGGTTATGGGGAAAAAGGTTACAACCAGATGGGTTTACAAAAGAGTCTGTTCAGACATTGTTCTGCTTTTATGTCGCAAATTATTTTTATTTTCCATTGGCCTTCCGTCACAGTTGCATGTCTAGAATACACTTCGTGGTCTGGCTCCGCAGATACAGACGAGACGGTATGAGAATTACGTACGTGTGTACTCCAGCCTTGCCACCTTCTAGGGCACGCGTCTCGTGGTGATAATGATGAATCCAGAGTAGCTTCAGAGAGTAGTTAGCGGAACACTGAAGAGGAGAGGTTGTGGGGGGGATGTTCAGATACGTTTTTTGGGAGACTTGCGCAGCGAAATGTAGGTGACAAAGGTTATTGAATGAAGCTTTGATTTTCTCGCACGATACAGCCTGTTTGTAATTCCGGGCGTGTGTGTGAAAGAAAGTGTAGTTTTAGAAGCGTTCACCTTCGGCGTGGTCAATTTTAGGTAAGCTTAGGCCTACACGTTTTTATTATACTGATAATACTGTATTGAAGATCTCTGTATGACCTCTGAAACGTTGGTAACCATCGACCATACCACACAGCGCAACAACCCAGAAGACAGAAATCTTCATACTCATCGCCCTGATGATGGAGGCAGTATGACCTGCGAAACGTTGGTAAACATCGACCAGACTACGCAGCGCAACAACCCAGAAGACAGAAGTCTTCATACTCTGATGACGGAGGCAGTATGACCTCTGAAACGTTGATAAACATCGACCAGACTACACAGCGCAACAACCCAGAAGACAGAAATCTTCATACTCTGATGACGGAGGCAGTATGACCTCTGAAACGTTGGTAAACATCGACCAGACTACACAGCGCAACAACCCAGAAGACAGAAATCTTCATACTCTGATGACGGAGGCAGTATGACCTCTGAAACGTTGGTTAACATCGACCAGACTACACAGCGCAACAACCCAGAAAGACAGAAATCTTCATACTCTGATGACGGAGGCAGTATGACCTCTGAAACGTTGGTTAACATCGAGCAGACTACACAGCGCAACAACCCAGAAAGACAGAAATCTTCATACTCTGATGACGGAGGCAGTATGACCTCTGAAACGTCGGTAAACATCTGCCAGACTACACAGCGCCACACCACCCCAGAAGACTTGCCGAATATAACAAAATTATTGGCTCCTGTGTATTGTAATTCGTTTGTCGCGTCGTTCACCTGTAATTGATTTGTGATTCTGTGCAATTATTTGGTTTTTGTAAATGTATTTTTTATGACGCCCGTCGAGGTGAAAGCTACCGAATTCTCTTTGAGTTGACTAAAGTGGATTTGAAGAGAACAAACCAGAATATTGGTGCAGTTGTTCATGACAACTACGATACTCACGTGAGGAAGGCAGCAACTTTGGTTAAAAGTATTGATTCCAGGCTAACGTATCTTCAAGCTGAAACTGAGACTTTGTTGAACAACGAACAACTTTGGATCGACAGCGAGGGGGGGAATATTTTTTTATCTGTGTGTGATGAGTAAAACTGTTCATAGTTCACTTTATTATCTGCTTGTCCTGTGAGATTA